GAGTCAATTGATGATAATGAAGGAAAATACCCCGACTTGTCTGACTTGTTTCGTTATTTCTCTATCTGAAGTTGAGAAGCGTGAGGAAGTTCATAGGTATTACCAATCAAGCTTTCAGAGCAGGGAATAATTCTGTAAGTATCCGAAATCGGTCGGGTGTTCGGTCACACTTTAAGAGGTTGGCTTGCGGAATCTCTAGAGTTAGTTACATCACGTACAACCTCTCCATATAAAAGTTACCATTTGAAACCTGTTAATTTTGATGGTTTTATTAATTATTATCAGCTTGAAGCGTCTGAAAGTCGTGATAATAAAATTAATTAATCTGTTTTAATTTTGTTTTTAGCATGAAGAATAAGACACATGCATTGTGTCTGATCACAGTTTCTCTACTCACCAAACCTCTTTGACCTTCGAACTATGAAATGTTATTTTCTCTATGGGCAACTAACTTTGGGGTTTTTTTTGTTCGGAGAGAAGTGATTTGGCCTCTGAAGAATTCAAGCACTTGAAAGCGAGACTTCGTGGAAACTTCAAATTTATTAATCTACAGATAAACATTAATTATGGGGGAATTTTGGATCAAATGCATCTATTAATGATGCATGACACGAAAAGGTTAATAACATGGGGATGTAAAGTGTGAAAAAAGTGGGATGACCTCTCTGAATAAATTCCGACTCTATGCTTTTCCTTTGTTCTGAAAAAACAAGAAGAGTCGTCATTACGGACATAAATACAATGTTTGTTTTTCCAAACCGATGTACATCACAGTTGTAATCCTTTTAAGGACTTTTAACCCTCCTAATGTAGCTGAGTTAAAAATTGATCACGTAAGCCTCGTCGTTTGATACAAGCACTTTGATCGTCGCTTGATGCGAGCGCCTTTCCTTCGCACGGTTCAACCGTACCGGCAATTTCTAGACATAAATTCGTTGCTATATAGACCTAAGATTGCACGTGAATTGACTATTCCTCGTTCTTTCATCCTCTGCCGAGTCAAACGCGCCACTAGTAAAACCACCAAAGAATTGACGCGTATGTTCATTATTCCTCGTTCTTTTATCCACTGCCGAGCCAAACAAGCTAGATACACTCGATTCCCGTTATTGCGGACAACCTCAGGGGCAGATTTTGTGTCCGTGATAACGAGAATTGGTAATAGCGGGGCACTAGAGATAATAAGTTATTTGGTCTATAAACATATGAAATAATATATAACTACGCAAACATGAAGTTTCTAACGTGGCCTCACAAACCGGATAAAGATTCAGCCGCAAGCAGGAAATTCTCATGTTCGCAACCAATTGAAGAATGGTTTCTGTATTTTCTTTTATCGTAATGTCGTTTTGTATGATGTGAGTCAGGATTTTGGACGAAATACTTAGGTATCCGCTATGGCGAGAGAAAAGACAAGTGAAATGTTTCGCTGGGTGACATGAAAGTGTCCGCATTTCAGTAATAGCCTGAGCCCGTAGTAAAAACGGGAGTTTAATTCAGTCATTTCTTGATGCGTTTCACGGAGACTCTCGCCGCAATGGTGAGGTGTCCGTAGGGCGACTTTAAATTTTCCATCAAGATTGGCCCTGTATTGTGTAGATGCTCCCATTATTTTATTTAAGCGGCGCTGGTAGATGATTTGGTTTGATGATAGTGTAGAGTGACAGCTTTGAACCAGTGTGTTCGTCATCGAACGATACGTTCTACTTCTCAAACCGACGAGCACACCAGTAAAACCAGTTCGTTTTGTCAACTGATCGAAGGAAGACTTCACTCAGCTAACTTACTTCCAAAGGAAATTTATTATCGAGTGTAATAACAATAAATGAGATTTAATTTAAAAATGCTATCCCGGATGAGTTATAAGTCGCGACTAAATTACGAATGATCTTTTCTACGATCGACGGTGGACTGTTGTTGGTTGTCTATTGTCAAGAGAGTCTGCGGGTAAGTCACCGTCCATTATTTTCAAGGAATTTCTTTTTAAGTCTCTTAAAGCAAATGTCTGTTGTCTCAGCTAAAGACCAAACGGCTAGAGATCGCAGCCCTGTGCATGTTTTTGTCTGTTTTCGTGAGAGTCGTTTTGTTACCTGTGTTGATAAACCTGTGTCATTTCAACACTGCATGGCCACAATTTTATTCTATTTTAAACCTATTTCTGGTGTCTCTACCATGGCTAGAAGCTCCTCCAGTTTCGTTTCCAATAGCACAGTAAGAACAAAATCCGCGACTCAGAGCAGCCCCTTTGCAACAACTTCCGCAAGCTTGCCAATGAACTAACTATACAGTAATAGGGGTATTCTGCTCGAATCTCACATTAACTTCAATAGGAGGGCTATGAGGTAAAAATAAAATTAACCAGAAGGCGACAATTCCATAAAGGAATTTTGACATTAAAGTGATCCGAAATGTGACGTGTGCTTTCCCATGATTATGCAGGCTACGAAAACACAGTGTAAGGAAAGAAATTTATAAGGAATTTGTCTCCACTTTCTGTGCATTGTTAGGATCAACCATCGTAGAATTCTAAATAGCAAAGCCTTGCGTTCTAAGACGCCATTGACTTAAAGCTAAATTATCATTTTTTTATTAAACCTAATTGCGTGTTATTTGCCCAGTGCATTATTTTTTGTCGAACTAATAGAGCCCACTGAAGGTCTGTCATTGATTCACAGCTGCTCATGATCAAGAACAAACCGTCAAATTCACAAGGAAGTAAAATGACATACATAGAACATAATTTCGCAATTTCCTCAGATTTCCTTCACTTTCCTACATTTTCCTAAATTAAAATTGTTTATTCCGCCGAAGGCAACTTTCTCTCTGGTTCGTCATCTTGTTCGTGAGACCACTTGGCTAATTATTCACTAAAACGAATTTTAAAATACGGAGCACCTGCCTTAAGACTCGCGAGAAAGTACAAAATCTCCCTTTTGAGTTAATTTTGAATTTCTACACGTAAAGAGGGTTTCCTTTTTGTTTGTTTGTTTTTTTATACTCAAGTTTATGAATTAAAATCAACGAGGATATCTAAAGAAAAAGTGGGATTATTTATAGGAACTAACTGTAAATGACATGACTTTCAAAGCGAAAGACTTAAGCCCGCGTTGTACGTGCTTTGACAATTGATATGAGGCATGTTGGATTTGAGATCCATTTGAGGACTCCCACATTCAAACATTTATGTCTGATATTTCTGTCCAGCTGTCCAGAAGAGATGCGACCGAGAACCGCATTAATATTCATAGCAAATCATTTTGAAATGGTTAAAAAAAGGAAGGGATCAGGAATAAGCTCTTTAGTTCAGCAGGGTTCATCAGTCTCGGGCCATTGAATTCTCAAAACGTTGGACAGGAGAAGCAACCTTATCGATCTTCAAAGGTATACTGTGTTTCTTATTTTAGATCAACCTGAAAAAACGCTTGGATCAGTGCGGTTGAAATGTTTTTTTTTCCTTTTTTTCAATCTTCCTTTAGTACTAAGAGGCTACAAGTCTGTTTGCTGACAGCGGACTTCAGTGCATTCTATCGCAGGTACGTTCAACTGCCAGGAGACGTTCAACGCTTCTTAACTGACAATAATTTGAAGGGAAACAAGTTGACTTTGTAAGGCGAATATATAGGCAGATTGATGTCCTGTTTCCAAACTAATTCTAACAACGTTACAGTCCATCAAAAATAATTATATACATGCGCCATCGGTGTCTTCAATAAGATATCATACATTGTTATCGTTTCCTTCTGATAATTTTTCTCACAATCTTCGTTATTGGTATTATGCGAACAAATGAAGGAACCGTGCAGAAAATTGAATAGTAATAAAGTAAAATAAAAAAAAAACTGTTTCTGAAAGTTATCTTTATTCATCGGGACGGAAAACGACAAATAAGAAGATGACAAATTAGAAACGCTTTCGTCATAAAGGCAAACCAACAACGAAGACCAGTATTTATATATTTTAAGGATGAGAACACTTAATACATCTATGCAGAAGTGCTTAACCATGACTTCATTACTAAGATCACACAGATCACGGCGCATGAAAGGAACGGAGTTTTAGACGAGCTCTCAGAGAATTCCAAAAAAGTACGCTATTTTAAGACTTGTGTATGTACGTGGGTTATTGAGCTCTTCCCTCAATGGCTCGTCTTAATGCACGGGCTTTTAGCACGCACTATTTATTAGAAGCACATTTTTTCATGGTAAACTCAAACGATGGAATTAAAACAGAAGCAAATATTGATTACGATATGGATACTGGAGAACCCCGAATGTCTGCGATCAGTGGCCGATCGATTTAACATTACAAAATCGATTTAATTTCGTGTTTATCGCAGAATTTGTGGAGCGATTGCCAACAATCTTTCCGGTCAATATATGAGGTACCTACTAGTTTGAAATTGAGCACCGCTGGGCAAAATGATTAATTTCGGATCCTTCCCCTAAAGGAACGCGTTGGATCAGTGATCCAATGATCCGTCTTTAGATCACGCAGATCAGTGAACCGACGAATCCTTGTCCAGAGTGGATTTGATAGATCACTGATCTGAAAATGGATTTGCTCGAAAGGGACGCCACAGATCAGAAATCCTGATCTGGATTCTCCCAAAGGAACGCACCCTAAGATATTTTCACTGGGGTTATTTATGGAGAAAGTTAAAATGTCCTGCTGTCTTCCTTTTCCTGTTTCCAGTATTTCCGTTCCTGTTCACAGCTTCAGTGGCGTCCCGAAATATCATCGACTCAACCAAAGTGAACTTTGTTAAAAAAAATAATAATTTAAATGTTTTTGTTTCCTTTGAATTCACAATCGATTCCTCTCACCACATCCCAGGTTGGTATCGAATAAGATTTTAGGGGGCCATGAGTGTTCCCTTTACTGATTATTTATTCAGTAATAACAGTCTTATCCTATTAAAATTTAGCAACAGAAAAAAACAGGAACTAAAGATGAAACCTGATACCGAGTGGATTGTTTTGACAGTCCTCTACGCCATCACGATGCTCGTAGCGTTTGCAGGGAATGGCTTCCTCATCTACATCGTGTGGAAGAAACCTGAAGTCAGATCACTGACAAGTTTTATGTTCGTCAACATGGCCATCGCTGATTTGCTTGTAACCCTGATTGTGATACCCTGGTCGATTTCCATAATATATAAAGACGGTTTGTGGATGATCCCGGGAGTATTTGGAAAAGTCATGTGCAAAGGTGCTGTATACACTGCCTATGTCACCATAACAGCATCCGTCCTCTGCCTGACGTTCATGGCGATCGACAGGTACTATGCCATCGTTCATCCCCTCCGCCGCCATCTTTGGTTTCGAAAGCCTAAACTAACCGTCCCATTTATTTGGATCGGGTCACTGGTCTCCATGTCCATTTTCCTTGTTATTCAAACCGTAGAGGACTACAACAATTCTTCCCATTGCTTGCTATCTGTTTACATCTTGGGTGATCCAGATAGGGCTCTTCGAGGAATATACCTCTTCCTTTTCGTCCTCAACTATCTCATCCCCTTGGTCGTTATTTCTTTCCTGTATACTATCACTGCATGGAATTTATGGTTCCATGTTACACCTGGAGTGAATACTTTGAGAGGAGATCGAGCGCAACTAGAAAGCTCTAAAAGAAGAGTGGTTCGGATGCTCATTATTGTTACCTGTGCCTTTGCCCTTTGTTGGCTTCCACCACAAGTGGTCCACATCATGCACGTCATTCACGCATCTAAGGTTTACCTACATATACAGCCGATTGTCAGCTTTGTGTGTTTTTGGTTTGGACACGCTAACAGTGCCGTTAACTCATGGCTGTACATTTTTCTGAGTACCAAGATAAATACGGCATTTACCAGGGTCGTCAGTAGAAAAAGCAGCCGGTTGCCTTCAAGTCTCACCATCAAAACATCAGATGCCGTCTTACCACCTGAAGATGAAGCAATCCAGAATGAATCAAGAATATAATGCCTCTCATAACATGAAACTTTTATTACTAATTTTTATTACTGGAACAAACACAGGATGAAATTGCAAGAATCTGTATACGGAAACGTGGCAGGAACATGTTAAACCGTTCCGGAAACACGACGGATAACCTGTGTTTCCGTTACCGGTTTCGTGACGTTTTCTCGCGTTTCCGTTGCTGCGTATACAACGGAACCAGACCACTTTTACGTAAACATAACGGAAACATGGAGTTGCATGTTTCCGCCACGTTTCCGATTACGGATTCATGCAATTTCGTCCTGTGAAAGGCACATTTGGTTTTTCTAGTATCACCTTGTTATTGTTTCTTGCTGAAGTAGTCATCAAAGCTTTAAGGTCTGCTTAAGTGTAATCTTGGAGAGCTAACTATAGGTTTTATGTCTCATTCAGTTGTGGATTTTAAAGCGCCAAACACACTAGCCAAAGATACCGGTTTAGTTAATTTCTTTGCGATACACAGAGCGTCATTGCCTTCTTAGTTCCCGCCGGATTGCTATGTTCTGAAAGCCGCTCTTGTAGATTAAATTGTTGAGTACTGATAAGTAAATACAGGGAGATTTTGGATGCGACCTCCCTTTGAGAAGGCCTCAATGGAAAAAGAGAGTGTTGTGAAGTGCTATTACGATTCAAGGATTTTTGGTTAGCATTCAAAGATTGTATCAGTCTTACCCCCTTACGATACGTTTCATTGTTGTCTTTCTCCTCTGGTTGTGCAATTACTCGAACTTGAAATTTTGTTTCTAAACTGGTCGTGTTGAGTACTTTATTTTCAGTTTTTTAAATTTGACACGTAAAAGTTTTAGCTGATTATTGTATAGTCCTTGTGCGAGTCTTATCAAGTTCAGAAGCCCGCAAGGTCGAACTCGTAATTTTAACATCAACAATAGTTTGTGCTGACTCTATTTATGAGGCTTGTTTCTCGAACAAAGACGTTCGTCGGTGGTCATGTTTGGGTGTGTTTAGTGAACTTGTATAAAAAATACATTTGATCGGGTCCGAATTTTGAACAAGGGGTCAAACTCTGCAAAGACAGTCAACACATTACCTACATGTTCACTAATAAGGTACTTTAGAGCGTGCACTACAGTGAGTAAAAGAGAGATATAATTTGGTTAGCTACAGAAAATGTAATAAAGAAGAAAAGAACTAAGAGTCTTGGTGCCTCCTGTTAGTGTGGGCCTTCTCAGAAGCTAGTTTTCCCTGCCATTGCATCTTTACAGAAGGTTATACAATGGACAACTAACGAAGTTACTCAGACACCCAACAACTAGAATGTTGCTAAAGTCGAAATAAAAGTGAAGAAAGCTTTTAAGCAAAAAGAAGAGATGCGAACATATTTTTACATTGCAATAATACATGGTTCTAATATTTTTCTTACTTAAGGGTAACACTGAATTACCGAGGAATCCGAACAAAAAATTGTTTCAGTTGATTTCCTAACCTTTGTTACCTATTCTCTTCTTTTGTCTTTGTTCTTTTGATTTTATTTTTGGTATAACAGGAAACGCAAAGTTACTGTGATAGAGATTCAGTTAAAAAAAAAAAAACAAAAAAAAAAAACGTGCACATATTAATATAACGATGGTGGAGTGTTAACAGGGTCACCTTCAGCCTCACTCCAAATCAAAGGCTTGGTAACCAAGTACACAACTGTAAAATTGCCTATTCAAAGGGAAATAGATCGTCTAGAAATCCTGAAAGACTGCGAACGTTGTGGAAATGCATAATAAAGTACCGTATTGATAAGGTAAATAACACAATTATTAGGTCATTTAATTCAGCATCCCGCTGCATGATCCTTCACGATGAAGGTTTATGCCGAAAAGTGGGTCATTCGCTCTGATGCCTGATCATCTCCAATACATAATTTGCGAAGTTATGCTATACAGATACGGCACGTCTCGATGAATCAATTTCTCCCTTTGGTATTGTTTGGTTGAGTGGCGTGAAATACACGTGTTTTGCATACATTTTGGTGGCTTATCAGTAACATAAACCGCACAAACTGAGTTAGAGTGTCGTCACTGTTCTCGAAATAAACCGTTTTTCGTTGCAGTAAACACCAGCAAAAACCAGATGATTTTTGGTGCAGGAGAAATCCTCCAGGAAAGAACCATGTGGTAAATTTATTTCCAAGGCCGCCAAAAATGCTGGAGTACGTGGCAGAGTCATTGACCACTTGTACGGATTTCGTCCATCTCACGCCTCCTTTCAATGCAAGATGGAGATACCTCAGAAAATTTTGTTGCTCTATAACATAAGTACTAACTGTAAGTACTAACATGTTTTTTCTGCTCAATTTATGGCTCCTGCGCACTTTGTGCTTGGGCCATAAATCCGAGCGAAAAAAACTCGTTCTGTTACATGCAGTGCAGCCCTCGAACTCGGTTAGTAAGAGGTATCTCGTGCTCTCCAAACTTCCCGCGTACATCCATACCTGGCATGGACCAATTCTTTATGAATCTGACAGTTTTAAACATCCTGTTTACGACGGTGATCGATATTTTTTTCGTTGAGGTCAATTCTGTCTTTAAGTAAGTATCCTGAGAAAGATAGTTAGGAAGTCTATCATAAAAATTTGTCGAAACGTCCACAGATAGAGAGACAAGCGAAGCAACTGCGTCAATATTCACCTTTAATGAAAAAACCCTGAGAAATCAGTCACATTTGAAAAAATTAAATTAGTGCAGTCCTTTGGTTTTTCTACCTCTGCCAGACAATGGTTTTTCTCGTACTTAACCAATCGTTCTCAAAGTGTTTTTGTTAATGGGATAGTTTAAGAGCCTCAAAAAATCGACTAGGGTAGCGCTTTAGGGCCCTTGCTCTTTATAATGTATATTAATGACATCCCATGTGGTTAGATATTCTAATGTTGAGCAATATGATGATGATACGCTTCTTTACTTTGCTAGTGATGATGTTAACATCATTGAGTCCAATCTGTCATCTGATTTAGATAGTGTTACTCAGTGGCTTAGTGCTAATTACATAAAATACTCAACTCTATCAAATCTAAAATAATGCTTGTGGGTACCCATCAAAGGCTTGCCTCTAAGTCGTTCTCCATATCATCTAACGGCCGAGACTTAGAGAGATTAGAAAGGTTTAAATATCTCGGGGTTTTTATGGACCCAACACTTTCTTTGAAGTCCCACATTAATAACTTGGGAAAGAAGATCTCTTCTAGATTAGGAATGTTGCGTAGAGCACGAAAGATCTTGCCTCAGTCATCCTGTATCATTTTGTACAACGCAATGATACTCCCCCTTTTTGAGTATTGCTCAGTTGTATGGGATAGTTCTGGGGCTATATCTAAATGGTATCTTGATAAACTTAATGGGCGTGTGGCGAGTATTATCTTAAATAGGGCTGTGAGTGAAACAGATATTATTCGTATTCTTGGTTGGCCTAACCTTCAGTCTTGTAGAGACTATCTTAAATGCATGCTGGTTTTCAAATCTACGAACGGCTTAGCACCTTCCTACCTATTGAGTGATTTTACTCGAGCTAAGAAATATCATACATATAATACCAGGCACAGGGATTTGATTCGTCTTCCTTTGCCCAAAAGCACTAAATATCAAGGCAGTTTTAGATATAATGGTGGGTGCACTTTTAATAATCTGCCCAAAGCAATAAGATCGCTGGAAAGCCCTAAAACTTTTAAAACTGAGTGAAAGCGGTTTTTTAAACAGATTTAATTAGTTATGTAGACTTTGCATGTATTTTCTCCGATAAGTTTTACTTTTGTCTGTCAATTTTGAGTAAGTTTGTATTGTCAAATTTTGTTTTTGCAGGGCTCTCTTTAAACTAGCTATGCTAAATGTGATGTCCCTGTTTAAATATTGTTTAAATAAAATAAATAAATAAATAAAACGCTTTATTATAACATAGCGTGGGTGCTTGCTTGAGGTCAACTCTGTCTTTAAGTAAGTATCCTGAGAAAGATAGTAAGTTTATCATACAAATTTGTCGAAACGTCCACAGATCGAGAGATAAGCGAAGCAACTACGTCTGCATTCACCTTTAATGAGAAAACCCCGAGAAATCAGTCACATTTGAAAACGCTTTATTATAACATAGCGTGCGTGCTTGCCCTATATAAGTCCTATTGAGCTGCTATGAACAAAATCTTTATTTACGCATGCCCGTACGTAAATAAGATGACGTGAGCGTTTTTTTTACTTGGCTTCAGAGTTTCCGTCCTTTAATTGGGAATTTACTAAAACCAAAACAATCACAATTGCACTTTATCACAATAAAAGGCTTCTTCTCGCAGATCCTTGTTGTCACTCTGTTTTCTATAAAAAAAATTTGCTCATGCTTTTAGCTGCGCGTATATCGAGTTATGGATGCACTTGAGATAATAATGTAACGTCAGAAGACTCGTGTTCTTCTAGTTTATTGTTATGTTTAGATCTAGATTTGATGCGCTATAGTGTACTGCACCATTACCTAAAAATAAAAATTTGGTCATCATCAACTATAACTGCCGTCGTCTCCATTTAGGGCAGCAGAGGTTTTCATATGTCAGACACGTCACCCAAAGTGTAGGCGGTAGATATAATCCAATGATCAACAGTCATTGTTAATATGTGTTTTGGCGTTCGAATTAACAAAATATTCATTTAGTTTGGGTTTCCTCATTTCTTGTTTACAAAGTGTTATCCATCTGAAATGTAAATTTTAAGGAAATTTTTTACTTTAATTTTTCATAAGGAAGAGACTTTTATCATTCTATTTTGTGATCAGCATTTGTCATGTTCTGCTTGCATTTAAATACTACTCTGAATCAAGTGAAGTCTCCAGAATCACGTTTTAATCTAAACTATGATGGAACTTGTAAAATAATAATCGAAGGCCATCTTAGATTAAAAATTTGAAATACGTCTTCGGGTCAGTGAAAATAACAAAATCTTTACATTTAGGATTTATTTGGCAAGGAAATTGGGGATTTAAGATCCAGGACTGTAAATATTATAAATGAAGGAGGAGACAAGATATGGGAGTTTCTTCAGTTGGATTCGAAAAGACCGATCGAAAAGCTAGAAAAGACACCCACTGTAATCCGCTGTAACAATAAATTAACCATGCAAACATATTTTCCAAAATTCTGATCACAAGAAAGTCTTAACGAAAACCGTGTTCTCACGCAATACATACGAAATAATAAATGATAAAAAATTGAACATTTCTCAGTTATCTTGAAAACCGATAAGTCTTTAAAAAATATCCACAGTGATAGCGTAGGCATTCTGCACGCAAAAAAAAGTAGCATATAAAAAGTAAACATATTTTCAGTAATTTTTATGAAAAAAAAAATTACGGTATGTTACCACACAATCAAAACAAAATAGGAAAAAAGATTAAAAATGAAACAATTTGAATTGACGTAATTCGAAATTGAAACTGTAAAAATTTGAAAGAAAGATGTGATCAAGGTGTTTTGGTTGAATTTTACGCAGCGATCACCATGCTTGAATCTTTACGCATCGTGGATTCACTGTACGGCCTCTTTTTGAAGTTAGCAACATTTAAAAAGTGCAAGAGAAACTAAAAACAGGTTTTTAAAACATTATGAGTGGAAGACACATTTGATATTGGTAATTTTCAGCTATTTATTTAGGATCGTGTGTGTGATATTTAGAACTATCCTGTCAATGTTGCCTCATCAGCGCGTCGAAAGTGTCTCGAATCGGGAGATTGTTTAAGGCAGAAGATGTTTTAATTTAGAAATATTTACTTTCCTTTCTCAAGGTATTACTTTTCGTCATTTTCCATCACTTGCCGTTAGATGACAAACCAGGTTTTAAGAGAAGAGGACAATAGGATTGGTTCCGTACTGCATGCAGTCGACTTTTTACTCTTTTGATTACACTGAAAAAAAAAAAAAAAAAAAAAAAAAACGGAAAAAACCTGAAGAACTAAGGTACGAGTCCTCGCCTGGTTATAATAATATAATATTTCCTAGGCCCCGCCTTCGTGAAAAATGGCTTCAATCTTTTTCCAGAAACGTTTTTGACTGATTTATGCGTCCGATGCAGATGTTATCAGACGTTATAATTTGCATATGTTGGGACGAGAGGAAATAAATTTGTATATGGTCGGTGCCAACAACAGCAATTCGTAATTTCAAGTTTTCCACATGTTCGTGGATGAGACGAAAGTTGTAAGAACAAAAACGTGCCACACGAAGCATAGCCTAGTGGGAAACTGTGAGTTACTACTGAAGAGACCCACGGCAATATTTATTTGCTTAAATATTGATTATCGGGATGCCGACGAGGAGTCTGTCCTTCAATTGAACATTAGTAAAAACTAATCCAAATGAGTGTGATTTATCTTGTTATACAAAGCTATGGCGGAGTATAGCGAGTGTTTATCAGGTGTATAACTTAACAGAAAAAGCAGTCAGACATAAGTTTCTCTCGTATTTTTGTTTTCTTTTGTACCTATGCCCTCTGGGTAAAGATCGCCAAACTGGCTTTACGAAACTGCTCGAATTTATTGAAGAAAAGGAGGTAAACTTTTTTAGCAAAAAGTTTCAAATTTCAGTTGTTTCTAGTAATTATTACGGAAATGCTAGATGATGGAGGAATTAGGTGAAGTTTCTTTAAATTAAAAAGAGTGTGATAAATGAATGAAATTGAAATATTTCGTTAAAAATTCCGAGTCAGTTGATGATAATGAAAGAAAATACCCCGACTTTTCTGACTTGTCTCGTTATTTTTCTATCTGAAGTTCATAGTTATTACCAATCAAGCTTTCAGAGCAGCGAATAATTTTGTAAGTATCCGAAATCGGTCGGGTGTTCGGTCACACTTTAAGAGGTTGGCTTGCGGAATCTCTAGAGTTAGTTACATCACGTACAACCTTTCCATATAAAATTACAATTTGAAACCTGTTAATTTTGATGGTTTTATTAATTGTTATCGGCTTAACGCTTCTGAAAGTCGTGATAATAAAATTATCTTTTATCTGTTTTTATTTTTTTAGCATGAAAAGTAAGACACGTGCATTGTGTCTGATCACAGTTTCTCTACTCACCAAGCCTCCATGACCTTCAAAACATAAAATGTCATTTTGTCAATGGGCAGCTAGCTGTGGGTTCGTTTTTTGTTCGGATCCAGTAGAGAAGTGATTTGGCCTCTGAAAAATTCAAGTATTTGCGAGACTTCTTGGAAACTTCAAATTTCTTAATCTACAGATTAACATTAAATATTGGGAATTTTGGATCAAATGCATCTATTAATGATGCATGACACAAAAAGATGGATAACATGGAGATGTAAAGTGTGAAAAAAGTGGGATGATATCTCTGTATAAATTCCGTCTCTATGCTTTTCTTTTGTTCTGAAAAACCAGAAGAGTCGTCGTTACGGACATAAATGCAATGTTTGTTTTTCCAAACCAATGTATATCAGAGTTGTAATCCTTTTAAGGTCTTTTAACCCTCCTAATTTCGCTTAGTTAAAAATTGATCACGTAGGCATCGTCGTTTGATACAAGCACTTTGATCGTCGCTTGATAATACAAGCCCTTTTCCTTCGTACGGTTCAACCGTACCTGCAATTTCCAGACATAAATTCGTTACTATAAGTTGTTATATAGACCTAAGACTGCACATTAAATGACTATTCCTCGTTCTTTCATCCAAGCCAACCGAGCCACCACATATTTAGACCTAAGACTTAACATGCACATCCATTAATCCTCGTTCTTAGATAGATACACTCGACTCCCTTTATTGCGGACAACCTCGGGGGAGATTTTGTGTCCGTAATAGCGAGAGTTCGTAATAGCGGGGTACTAGAGAAAATAAGTTATTTGGTCTCTAAACCTATGAAATAATATGTAAGTACGCAAGTATAAAGTTTCTAACGTGGCCTCACGAAACGGATAAAGATTCGGCCGCAAGCAGGAAATTCTCATGTTCGCAGCCAATTGAAGAATGGTTTCTGTATTTTCTTTTATCGTAATGTCGCTTTGCATTATGTAAGTCAGGATTTTGGACGAAGTACTTAAGTGTCCGCTATAGAGAGAGAAAAGACAAGTGCCATGTTTCGCTGGGTGGCATGAAAGTGTCCGCATTTCAGTAATAGCCTGAGTCCGTAGTAAAAACGGGAGTTTAATTCAGTCATGTCCTTGCAATGGCGAGGTGTCTGCAGGGCGAGAGTCAACTGCAAATTTTCCATCAAGATTGGCCCTGTATTGTGCAGATGCTCCTATTATTTTACTTAAGCGGCGTTGGTAGATGATTTGGTTTGATGATAGTGTAGAGTGACAGCTTTGAATCAGTATGTTCGTCATCGAACTAAACGTTCTACTTCTCAAACCAGCGAGTGCACCAGTCAAACCAGTTCGAGTTGTCAACTGATCGAAGGGAGACTACACTCAGCTAACTTGCTATTGTCAAAAAATCAAACTTTGCTTACAAACGGAATTTGTTATCTAGTGTAATAACAAATCGAGTCAGAGTGGACGTGATTGTCTGTGTTTGGTCGAGGCTAGTACAAAGTCTAGAGTTCCATTCACTAGGGCCCGTCTCTTTACCAATTACTGTCATCTCGCTAGCGCAGAGAGGCGGACTTTGTACAGTTGTCAATTTCACTTGAGCTTAAAGTGTCTTCTCACGCGTTGTCTTGTTTCCTATCAGATCCATCACATATAAATTACACATGCCCGTGAAGAGTCTGAGATTTAATTAATCATAAAATCAAAATGATATCGCAGATGAGTTACAAATCGGGACTAAATTACGAATGATCTTTGCGTAGATCGACGGTGGACTGTTGTTGGTTGTCTATAGTCAAGAGAGTCTGTGGGTAAGTCACCATCTATTATTTTCCATGAATTTATTTTTAAGTTTCTTAAAGAAAAATGTCTGTTGTCTCAGCTAACGACCAAACGGCTAGAGATCGCAGCCCTGTGCGTGATTTGCGCGGCTTTGTCTGTTTTCGTGAGAGTCGTTTTGTTACCTGTGTTGATAAACCTCTGTCATTTCAACACTGCACGGCCACAACTTTGTGCTTTTTTAAAACTATTTCTTGTGTCTCTACCATGGCTAGAAGCTCCCCCAGTTTCGTTTACCATAGCACAGTAAGAACAAAATCCGCGACTCAGAGCAGCCCCTCTGCAACAACTTCCGCTAGCTTGCCAATGAACTAACTATACAATAATAGGGGTATCCTGCTCGAATCTCCGACTTAACAAGTACACAGATCGTGAAGGGGTGTCCAGGTCAGTTTTATTATCATCCACGTGGGCATCGTCGCTTTACGCTTTTCATCGCACGGTTCAACTTGTTTGCTCAGCCATAATGTCACATGAGATAAGCGTTATTTCATTTATCGAGCTCCAGTGACTATCACACAGTACTTTTAAAACTCAAACCTCTCCCCTCTGTGCTCATTTTTGCTAACATTTTAAACTGAATGAACTAGACAGCCACAGGGCTCTACGCAAAAATACACTGAACGTGATTCAGTTGTGGATGGTAAGTGATGTAAGCCTCATTCGTTTAATGTAATTTGATGCAAGCAGGAGCCTTAAATGCCGTAGGTAAGTTTCTTGATGATTTTTATACCATGAGCTTCTCTTATGTGGAAATGAAAATGTCGCTGACGATAGTTGAAATATGGTTTAGTTTCTCAGCCCGATTTTCTTGTTATGAGGTCTACTTCCTGATACTGCAATGATTCCTCAATGATACAAATGCTACATTCAAGAAAACGATTCACATGCCGCTCTAACTACGGAGACTTAAAAGCTGAGTTTGTGCTTATGTTCCAAGTTTACTCCAACACTTACTCAACCATACGAGTATTAGCGGCGAAGGGCCAAACTGGCGCAATATGCTAAAGATCCTATGTCAATTTGCATATGAACGAAAGAGTGTTCATGCAGAATTTTTTTTTTACTGAATTAGCTTTTGTTCTCGCCAAGTTTTCTCTCTTGCGCCTGAACGAAAACGAAAGAAACTTTCCGTACGTTTTTGTCAAAAAAGCTGAAGATAAATAATTGGGTGGTCCTATTTCGCAGATGCTGGTTTTGAGATAATTTTTTCAAAAAGCACTTCCTATACTTATTATATAGCGCCACGCAAAAAAATTTATTCTGGCTGCTTCTTTTAATATCAATGCGAGATGATCTTAACCAAAACTGAAAAAAAAGGCTGTATTCCTAAACTTAAATTTTTAGAAAATGTAAAGCTGCAAAGCGCCGCGTCAAAGCGCTATTCTTATCCCCTGTCAATCCACCATCCATCAAACATAAATTGAACTGTTTTATTAACAGTTGGGCTGATAGAGACTCGTGAGGAAATGAAGAAACTGCATCTTTAAACATAAAGGCCAAAGTTGACTACAGATTCATGAAGTCAAATTGAAGAAATAACCATAGAAAACTATATCAACTAATTCATGAAAGAGAGCTTTTCGTTTTTGCTCTATTAAACAAGTATTTTTTCGGGCGCTGTCTTGAGGGGCGTTTAACTACCGCGTTTTATCGAAAGACAAAATCGGCAAGTCGATGTCGGATTTCAATTGATAAAAATAAATATCAGGCAAAGAAAATTTTATATGAATTTAAAGTTTTGGTTCTGGCGCGGACTTTACTCCTGTGGTTGCTTCGCTTCGAGCATATATTCTTCTAAAATTAAAGTTAATTCATCTGTCATTTCAGCATGACAGATGATTATCACGGATCTGTCAAAAATACGTGGGATCATTTGCATGCAATTTAACTTCGATAGGAGGGCTATGAGGTAAAAATAAAATTGACCAGAAGGCCATGACGGAATTTTGACTTTAAAATTATCCGAAATGTGATCTGTGCTTTCCATGATTATGCAGGCTATGAAAATACAGCGTAAGAAAGCACATTAATAAGGAATTTGTCTCCACTTTCTAAATAACAAGTCTTGCGTTGCGAGACGCCATTGACTTAAAGCTAAATCATCATTTTCTTATGAAACTAAATTGCGTGTTATTTGCACGGTGCATTATTTTTTGTCGAACTAAGAGAGCCCAATGAAGGTCTGTGATTGATTCACAGCTGTTCATGATCAAGAACAAACTGACCATTTCACAAGGAAGTAAAATGACATACATAGAACATAATTTCGCAATTTCCCCAGATTTCCTTCACTTTCCTACATTTTCCTAAATTAAAATTGTTTATTCCACCGAAGGCAACTTTCTCTCTGGTTCGTCACCTGGTTCGTGAGACCACTTGGCTAATTATTCACTAAAATGAGTTTTAAAATACGGAGCACCTGCCTTAAGACTCGCGAGAAAGTTCAAAATCTCCCTTTTGAGTTAATTTTGAATTTCCGCACGTAAAGAGGGTTTCATTTTTGTTTGTTTGTTTTTTATACTCAAGTTTATGAATTAAAATCAACGAGGAGATCTAAAGAAAAAGTGGGATTATTTATAGGAACTATCTGTAAATGACATGACTTTCAAAGCGGAAGACTTAAGCCCGCGTTGTAGGTGCTTTGACAATTGATATGAGGAATGTTGGATTTGAGATCAATTTGAGGACTCCCACACTCAAACATTTATGTCTGATATTTCTGTCCAGCTGTCCAGAAGAGATGCGACCGAGAACCGCATTAATATTCATAGCAAATCATTTTGAAATGGTTAAAAAAAGGGAGGGATCAGGAATAAGCTCTTTAGTTCAGCAGGGTTCATCAGTCTCGGGCCATTGAATTCTCAAAACGTTGGACAGGAGAAGCAACCTTATCGATCTCCAAAGGTTTACCGTGTTTCTTATTTCAGATCAACCTGAAAAAACGCTTGGATCAGTGCGGTTGAGATGTTTTTTTTCCTTTTTTTTAATCTTCCTTTAGTACTGAGAGGCTACAAGTCTGTTTGCTGACAGCGGACTTCAGTGCATTCTATCGCAGGTACGTTCAACTGCCATGAGACGTTCAACGCTTCTTAACTCACAACAATTTGGACGGAAACAAGTTGACTTTGTAGGGCGAATATATAGGCAGATCGATTTTCTGTTTCCAAACTAATTCTAACAACGTTACAGTCCATCAAAAATAATTATATACATGCGCCATCGGTGTCTTCAATAAGATATCATACATTGTTATCGCTTCCTTCTGATAATTTTTCTGATAATTTTCGTTATTGGTATTATGCGTACAAATGAAGGAACCGTGCAGAAAATTGAAAATAGTAAAAAAAAAACTGTTTCTGAAAGTTATCTTTATTCATCGGGACGGAAAACGACAAATAAGAAGATGACAAATTAGAAACGCTTTCGTCATAAAGGCAAACCAACAACGAAGACCAGTATTTATATATTTTAAGGATGAGAATACTTAATACATCTATGCAGAAATGCTTAACCATGACTTCATTACTAAGATCACACAGATCACGGTGCATGAAAGGAACGGAGTTTTAGACGAGCTCTCAGAGAATTCCAAAAAAGTACGCTATTTTAAGACTTGTGTATGTACGTGGGTTATTGAGCTCTTCCCTCAATGGCTCGTCTTAATGCACGGGCTTTTAGCACGCACTATTTATTAGAAGCACATTTTTTCATGGTAAACTCAAACGATGGAATTAAAACAGAAGCAAATATTGATTACGATATGGATACTGGAGAACCCTGAATGCCTGCGATCAGTGGCCGATCGATATAACATTACAAAATCGATTTTATTTCGTGTTTGTCGCAGAATTTGTGGAGGATTGCCAACAATCTTTCCGGTCAATATATGAGGTACCTACTAGTTTGAAATTGAGCACCGCTGGGAAAAATGATTAATTTCGGATCCTTCGCCTAAAGGAACGCGTTGGATCAGTGATCCAATGATCCGTATTTAGATCACGCAGATCAGTGAACCGACGAATACTTGTCCAGAGTGGATTTGATAGATCACTGATCTGAAAATGGATTTGCTCGAAAGGAACGCCACAGATCAGAAATCCTGATCCAGATTCTCCCAAAGGAACGCACCCTAGGATCTTTTCACTGGGGTTATTCATGGAGAAAATCAAAATGTCCTGCTGTATTCCTTTTCCTGTTTCCAGTATTTCCGTTCCAGTTCACAGCTTCAGTGGCGTCCCGAAATATCATCGACTCAACCTAAGTGAACTTTGTTTTAAAAAAAAAAAATTTAAATGTTTTTGTTTCCTTTGAATTTACAATCGATTCCTCTCACCACATCCCAGGTTGGTATCGAATAAGATTTTAGGGGGGCTATGAGTGTTCCCTTTACTGATTATTTATTCAGTAATAACAGTCTTATCCTATTAAACTTTAGCAACAGAAAAAAACAGGAACTAAAGATGAAACCAGATACCGAGTGGATTGTTTTGACAGTCCTCTACGCCATCACGATGCTCGTAGCGTTTACAGGGAATAGTTTCCTCATCTACATCGTGTGGAAGAAGCCTGAAGTTAGATCACTGACAAGCTTTATGTTCGTCAACATGGCCATCGCTGATTTGCTAGTAACCTTGGTAGTGATGCCCTGGTCAATTTCCACAATATATACAAGTGGTTTATGGATGATCCCGGGAGTATTTGGAAAAGTCATGTGCAAAGGTGTTGTATACATTGCTTATGTCACTTTAACAGCATCCATCCTCTGCCTGACGTTCATGGCGATCGACAGGTACTATGCCATCGTTCATCCCCTCCGTCGCCATCTTTGGTTTCGAAAGCCTAAACTAACCGTTCCATTTATTTGGATCGCGTCACTAGTCTCCATGTCCATTTTCCTTGTTATTCAAACTGTGGAGGACTACAATAATTCTTCCTATTGCATGCTATCTGTTTACATCTTGGGTGATCCCGATAGGGCTCTTCGAGGAATATACCTCCTCCTTTTCGTCGTCAACTATTTCATCCCCTTGGCCGTTATTTCTTGCCTGTATACTATCACTGCATGGAATTTATGGTTTCATGTTGCACCTGGAGTAAATACTTTGAGAGGAAATCGAGCGCAACTCGAAACCTCCAAGAGGAGAGTGGTTCGGATGCTCGTTATTGTTACCTGTGCCTTTGCCCTTTGTTGGCTCCCGCCACAAGTAGTCCACATGATGATCGTCATTCGCGCATCAAAGTTTCAGCTACAGCCGATTGTCAGCTTTGTGTGTTTCTGGTTTGGACACGCCAACAGTGCCGTTAACCCATGGCTGTACATTTTTCTGAGCACCAAGATAAACACAGCATTTACTAGGATCGTCAGTAGAAAAAGCAGCCGGTTGCCTTCAAGTCTCACCATCAAAACATCAGATGCCGTCTTACCACCTGAAGATGAAGCAATCCAGAAAGAATCAACGATATAATCCCTCTCATAACATGAAACTTTTATTACCAATTTGGTAACTGTAAGATAGGAACTCGCTTAAAACGGATTTGCGTATTACTAATTATATAATATAATACAAACACCTGTATACGGTTTCAGAAAAGTTACTGTAGTAATCTGAGTAATTTGATGAGAAATTGATAATTGCAACTAATTTCGACAAGAACCGTTCTATCGGCTGGTAAGAATAAAAAAGGGGATCCGTGGCATAGTGAACTATAGGAAGAAGCATACTGGCATTGCTTCTGCGATGTTCTAGGCAGTGTGGTGAGGGTGCTGAACTAGTGATCTGGTGGTCACGGGTGCAAGCCCTCTACTATAATACTTGCTGGATTTGTTCTCGTTTTTCCGTAGTCGATTCCTTGACTCGCTTTGTATACAGCCAACTGGTGTGCCCCCTGCTAGTTGGTAGTTTTAAAGAATTTGATTATTTACAACATCTGTTTTCCAATTTGATTGAAATGAGCATGAGAGCCCTATGGGGTATTGGTCAAAAAGGAAACACTGACATGTTTATTCAGTGCTCCGGGTAGCGTTAATTAAGTGTATTTGCATACCGTTTTCGCGATAATAATTTAATTTTCACTATTTCAGATTATAATTAGCTGTTCTGAAAGGAGATTTGTAAGAGCCTCCGGTTATGACATACACAATTAAAGCAAAAGAAATACTTATGGACCAAGAATCGTCTTATTCCGTTTAGAATGGAGCGCGCTAACCATTTGGCCACCCGATCTCCCTTAAGGTTGCAATATTTCTTCTCTTTTTTTTATGTCTGAATTTGTTCTGAAATAATATAATTAAAAAAAAAACAAAACAACAACAACAACAAGAACTGAAAAGGAAAAGAGAAAAGGAAGCTAATATTCAGGGGCTTGGATATCTGAGAAGAATATAGAGAAATAGAGTTCAATTTTCAGAACTATCCAGCAAATGTTTTAATTTTAATAATAATGAGAAGATAGGCGTTGTGAAACGAGGTATTTCACAGTCATTGCCGGCGATCTAGCTGATTAGCGAAGTAGCTAATTAGCGCGCGCGAAAAGCGCAATTCACCTGTCCGCTATATACTAATTTGGTTTGTTTATTCATTATTTTCTCATCGATACGAATCAATCGTTCCTCACAGTTTTCTTTAATCCTGTAGCACACAATGATAGTTTTCTTTAATTCTGTAGCACACAATGATAGTTTCAGCTGACATCCGAGTAAGAGCTCTGTGTAATGGGGTGTTAATTTTGTTTTTTAGGTTTCAAGTGTCATAGGGACAAAATGGGGACAATAGAATAAAATGAGATTTTCAAGGGGAGCTCGGTAATCCCTCGACAAAATACCGTAAGAAAATATGCACTTTATTTAAAAACGAACATGCAGCTGGGAACCTGAAAAAGATAATCTGTGACTTCGTTAAGAATTTGAACATCAGACCTTCCCATGGTGCTTTAAACTACGGAGCTGCGTTACAAGCCAGTCCAGCATACTGATAAGATCGGCAATCAGTATTTGCTTGAATATTCATCAGAAACTTTCGAGGGGGGAGGAGACTCTGTGACCCTAGTAGGTGGAGTGTATCATCTCATGTATTTCTGGCCTGGATTCGACTCCCCGACGATTCTAGTAATGTGGGTTGCCTTGGTTATCGTTTTTTTCCTCTAGCCATCTTAATTTTCTCCCAATATTGATAAGATCGATATCATTTTTGGATTATCCAGAAAAAATAAGAATTCTCGTGAAAGAAATAACCGTGATTGGCCTTGGAGAAGAGGTCGAAAAAAATACAAAACAAGGAACGTCTCAGTGAACACGACGAAACAAATATGAAATTCGTAGAAGAGGCCATTAATTGCATACCTCTGGCAAATGAAGATGGAGCTGATTTTGAAAATGCCGCTTTCATTTTTAATCCTCCAGTCAGGCAGTTTATTGTTATAGCAGGAAAAGGTGATTCGGAATATTACTTCTCCGAGGATGGCAGCAACAATATAACCTGTAAATGTGTCCGCAAACCCTGACTGCTGTACCTCTGAAACAAAGGCACATTTGGTTTTTCTAGTATCACATTGTAATTGTTTCTTGCTGAAATCCTTATTCTTATTTTAGGTCTAATTAAGTGTAATCTTGGAAAGTTTAATATAGGTTTTATGTCTCATTTAGTTGTGCATTTTAGAGCACCAAACACTCTAACCAAAGGTCCCCTTTTAGTTAATTTCTCTGCGATACACAGAACGTCACTGCCTTCGTAGTTCCCGATCGCTATGTTCTGAAAGCCGCTCTTGCAAATTAAATTGTTGAGTACTGCTAAGTAAATGCAAGGAGATCTTAGATCCGATCTCCCTTTGAAAAGGCCTCTATGGAAAAAGAGAGTGTTGTGAAGTGCTATTACGATGCAAGGTTTTTTAAGGTTAGTATTGAAAGATTGTATCAGTCTCACCCCCTTACGATAAGTTTCATTGTTATCTTTCTCCTCTGGTTGTGCAATTACTCGAACTTGAAATTTTGTTTCTAAACTGGTCGTGTTGAGAACTTTATTTTCAGTTTTTTAAATTTCACCCGTAAAAGTTTTAGCTGATTATTGTATAGTAGTTGTGCGAGTCTTATCAATTTCAGAAGCCCGCAAGGTTGAACTGGTAATTTAAACATTAACAATAGTTTGTGCGGACTCTATTTATGAGGCTTGTTTCTCGAACGAAGACGTTCGTCGGTGGTCATGTTTGGATGTGTTTAGTGCACTTGTATAAAAAATACATTTGACCGGGTCAGAATTTTGAACAAAGGGTTAAACTCTGTAGAGACAGTCAGCGCATTACCCACATGTTCACTAATAAGGTACTTTAGAGCGTGCACTATAGTGAATAAAAGAGAGAGAGACAATTTGGTTAGCTGTAGAAAATGTAATAAAGAAGAAGACAATCAGGAGTCTTGGTGCCTCCTGTTAGTGTGGGTCTACTCAGAAGCTAGTTTTCCCTGTCATTGAACCTTATGGAAGGTTATACAATGGATAACTAACGAAGTTACTCGGACACCCAACTACGAGACTGCTGCCAAAGTGGAAATAAAAATTAAGAAAATTTTGAACCAAAAAGGAGAGACGTAAGCATATTTTTACATCGTTTACGATACTACATTTTATTATTCATCGCGAGAAATGTATAGAAAATCCTTGTATGCAATGATGCATGGTTATAAAACTTTTCTTACGTAACCCTTTAACTCCCATGAGTGACCAAGACAGAATTTCTCCTTACCAAATCAATAGAATATCAAACAGGCAAGTGATGAGAAAAAAAATTTTTTCAGCCAGGGGACTATTAGTTGATCCAATACCAAATTCTCAGAGCTAACATCATAGGAGTTGTAGGGCAAACAGAAAAGAGAATAGCTAATGAGATCTTGGATGTGAAAGGGTTAAGGGAAACACTGAAGTACCGAGGAATCCCAAACAGAAATTTTTTTAGTTGATTTCCTGGCCTTTGTTACCTATTCTGTTCTTTTGACTTTGTGTTTTTGATTTTATTTTTGGCATAACAGGAAAGACAAAGCTACTGTGATAGAGATTCAGCTTAAAAAAAAAAAGCGTGCACATATTAATCAAACGATGGCGAAGTGTTAACAAGGTCACCTTCAGCCTAAGTTCAAATCAAAGGCTTGGCAACTAAGTACACAACTGTAAAATGGCCTATTCAAAGGGAAATAGATTGTCCAGAAATCCTGAATGACTGCGAAAGTTGTGGAGATGCATATTTAAGTACCCTAATGATAAAGTAAATAACACCATTATTAGTTCATTCAATTCAGAATCCCGCTGCATGATCCTTCACGATAAAGTTTTATGCAGAAAAGTGGGTCATTTCGCTCTGATGCCGGATCATCTCCAATATATAATTTGCGTAGTTATATTTATGCTATACAGATACGGCACGTCTCGATGAATCAATTTCTCCCTTTAGTAATGTTTGGGTGAGTGTCGTGAAATACACGTTTTTGCATACATTTTAGTAGTTTATCAGTAACATAAACCGCCCAAACTAGGTCAGAGTATTGTCACTGTTCTCGAAATAAATCGTTTTTCGTCGCAGTAAACTCCAGCAAAAAGCAGGTTATGATGTTTGGTACATAAAAAGTTCTTTAGGAAAGAGCCATTTGGCAAATTTATTTCCAAGGCCGTCAAAAATACTGGAATACGTGGCAGAGTCATTAACCACTCTGTACGGATTTCGTCCATCTCACGTCTCCTTTCAATGCCAGATGCGGATACCTCAGAAAATTTTGTTGGTTTATAACATAAGTACTAACTGTAAGTACTAACCTGGTTTATGCGCTTTGCCCTCGAACTCGGTTAGCAAGAGGTATCTCGTGCTCTCCAAACTTCCCGCGTACATCCATTTAACAAATAGAGTGTGTCATCAGTGACACACTCGGCTGCGCTTCGTGTGCCACTTTTTTGTTCTTACCACATTTTGACGTCATCTGTGATCTATTACTGAACAGACGCACGGCAACTTGGAATCTATTTGTTTTATATAATAAAGAATTAAAAAAAGTTTTAATGATGACGTCATCTATACGTCTGTCCTCCAATTAATCATAAGTGAGAACCAATTAAAACGCGTGCATAACTGAGCTTATTATATAAACCTCGATTTGCGCACGCTAAGCATGGACCAATTTTTTATGAAGCTGACAATTTGAAACATCCTGTTTACGAAGGTGATCGATATATTTTTTCGTTGAGGTCAATTCTGTCTTTAAGTAAGTATCCTGAGAAAGATATTTAAAAAGTTTATTATACAAATTTGTTGAAACGTCTACGGATCGAGAGACAAGCGAAGCAACTGCGTCAGTATTTACCTTTAACGAAAAACCCCGAGAAATCAGTCACATTTTAAAACGCTTTATTATAGCTTAGCGCGCGTGCTTGCCCTATATAAGTCCTATTGAGCCGCTATGAACAATGACGTGAGCATTTTACTTGGCTTC